AAATATTTCTTAATAATTAGGAGAACACAATGAATGTGAGAATGTAATTTTAAGGTTTTTCAATCGTAAAAGACGTACTAGATGAAATTTAGGACAAATCAAAATGACTTATAATAAGAACCGGAATGAGTATAATATAGTATTGACAATCCTTAGCAACCAACAAAACTAAAAAAGTAGATAGTTAAAACCTAAACAAGGCTTAACGTATTTGAATCATAAATAAGGCAAAGAATGTTGATCTAAAGCTATCTTTTGATAATTGATTCAAATGATCAAAACAAAGTGAAAGCTCTTTGGATGCTAATTTGGCAAGACCATCGGCTACTGCATTTGTTTCGCAACAGACATGAACTATATCATACCTTCGCGCCGATGGAGTTGAGATTCAATGCATAACGGCATGGAAAATCTTTAATATTTTTTTCGAAGAAAATCAACAATGGCTTTATTGTCCGTTTGAACACTAGCCTTCTCTAAGTCCAGATCTTCACATTTGCATAGTCCACTAAGAATGCCAAAAGTTTATGCCGAGAAACTACTATCATCCTCCAAGAATTGGCATTGGGCATAAACAAAGCTACCAAGTTTCTCTTCTTATCATTAGCTTTCTTGGTGGACATGAACTTTTAAATTTTCTTTTAGAAAACTCAATTCATTCATCGATTTAGCTCATAATTTAAGGACTTGAAACAAGCTGGAAATGTGTTCTTTAACTAGCAATATGATAGAACCAGAGGAATAAAGGTTTCCATCGTAAAAAGCAAGAGTTTCTAGCTTTCCAAATTTCCCAAACAATAAAGTTCCACAATCCTTGAGCTGTGGGAAGTGTTAATTTAAGAAGACCTGAAAAAAAAAATCCAGATTTTGTTACTTTGGGTAATCCCTCTTCTGATGCCTTGCAAAAACATCATTTAGATGGCATCTGAAAGCCAAACCTATGTAACACATCATGAAAAGGCAGTAAACGATCAAAGAGATTCCATAAGAAATACAGATTTTCATAGGTAACTATGACTTCCAAAGATGACAAAAAGTTGAAGAATTAAGCGACGAGATATTGTTTTTATCATGCAAAGCATTATATGCAGAGGATATCGTGAATTTTCAGGTTGATGGCGGTTGCCAAAACATGCGGTCTTCCTCAGTAAAATTTTTAGTATTTGTTGTCCAAAAATGAAGAACTTCTTGACTGATGTAGGTTTGTAGATCGGTGATCAATTATCACAACTCGACGCAAAATCTTTTTTCCTTTGAGTATGTGATAAAGATAGAAGCAATCTCTTAGAAGGTTGTTCAAGGATCTCAGGGAGTGATTCCTTGCTCTTGTAAAATTTATAAGGTCATATGCAAAGGATAAATGTGATACAATAACCGAAACATCTGGCATATTGTATGAACCAATCATTCCATTGGTAACCATGAAATGTAATTGCCTTGTCAATGCTTTAGACAACAAGATGAACAAATGTGGTGATTGTGAATCCCTCCGTTTAATCCCTCTCAAAGCTTCAAAAGAACCCGTTAGACTTTCATATAATTAAATCTGAGAAAACCAACTGTTTCTAACACTCCGTCCATTTGAAAATGTAAGTTGTTTTAGACTTGGAGATATTTTTCAAAATATAAGTCATTTTAGAATTTCAAGGAAAATTAATGACTATTTTTTTAACTTCACCCTCAATAAATAATGTCAACTCATTTTTATTTAGTCTTGTTTATAGTTTCAATGTAATTAATGAGGGATAAAATATAAATTAAAACATAAATTAATTGTTGAATGATTGTCTCCTTAGTTTACGTGCAAAGTCTAAAGTGACTTACATTTTGAAATGAAGGGAGTATTTGACATTACCAAAGAGATGAAGCAGATGCGAAAACCAAATTTCTACATGAGTGAATTCAAAAAGGTCCACGAAAGTCAATCAAATGTCTTGATCATGTCCAATTTAAATATTAGATTTTTGTTCCCATTGGCTTACAATCCAAGAATTGACTCAAGTCTTGTGTCAATAAGATGTTGTCATTTATGTCACGGCCTGGTAGAAAGGCAGACTTCTCTTCAGATATCCATTTGGATAGCATTGGCTTTAATCTTTCTGCTAAGATCTTTGATTTGGGGAAAGTGCAGCTTATCGGTCGAAAATCTGAAGAAGTCGACAGTGAAGCATTCTTCGGAATCTAAGTAATTAAGGTGCTGCCAGTTGTTCTTGGGGTAGGAACTCCAACCAAAAATTCATTGCAAACTTCTAACAGATCAACGGATATGATTTCCCAACATCTATGGTAGAAGTCCCTGCCCCCCACAAAAATCCATATGCCACATGAGATTCGGCTATTTTGTTTCCTTTTTTAGTTGACATTTTCTCATTCCTAATAGAAAAAATATACACTAAAAATAATGTTTTCAAGATCTAAAGTCCATCTTCCAATCGATCCGTCTTATCATTTAGAGATGCATGGAAGAACTTTGTGTTTGTGTTACCTTCTTTGAGCCATTTTAACTTTAGTTTTTGCTTATAAAAGTCTTCTTCTTCTTATGAGCAAGCAAGGAGATCAGATTTAGTATTATTGAGGTTGAGAAAGTCAGCTTCATCTCCTGATTCTTCAAAGATGTTTCCATGAAAAGAGACATTTTTCTCGGCCAACTGAACATTTCATCCCCAAAAGATGATTTGTTCCATTCTTTCCAACATTGTTTCAGCCATTTTAGTTTTTGAGCAAAAGTAAACGTACCATAGCTAGATTGAGGTTGCTCACAACTATGAAAAACTACATCCAGGAAATCAGAACGGTGAAACCACATTGATTGGAACAAGAAAATCTTTGGCCGTTCTATTTGGTCAATGTTGAATTAGTACAATAATGGACTGCGGTCAGAGGCGATTCAACTTAACCTTTGAATTGATGATATGGGAAAACCGTCCAAGCATGAATCACTAAAAAGGATCCGGTTTTAAAACCATTCATGTTCGACGAATTCCAGTCTAAGTGAAATTGTTGCTAGTTGTCCGCAATTTGGAGAGGTTACAATACTCAATGCAATTATTAAAATCATATGTAGAGGCTCTGTTTGGATATGATCTCCCAGCGTACTCTTTTTCTATGGATCAAAGAGCCAGCCATTTTGAGCCTCTATGTTGATCATAAAAGCGTTTAAGTTCATTCCATAGATTTTGCCCCTTTTCCCTCATTGACTTGGCATATATAGCAGAGATAAAGTATGAATCTGAGAGTGAGGAGTGTTTAACTTCCATGTGCATGACATGTTCAGTCCCACTAATAATTGATACATTGTAGCTAGAATCTCTAAGCACCAAATTCTGTTAGTAGAGGAAAGAGGTGCAGAATCAAAGTGTAACTTTTCTCTAAAGGAGTCTAATCTATGATTAGTGGCAAGAGGTTCAAGAATCATTTACAAGTAAAGAAAAAACACCAAAAAATAATATTCTTAGAAAAATAATTTGGATTAAAGTATGTGCTTAGAAATAGCAATGTTGTAGATGATTGTCTAGTATCAGTAACGATGATACAATGTCCTAATGGTTTCTTGAGACTTTATATACATGATTTTTCGGAAAGAGTTACACCGCACTTGGAATAGATAGTGGGTAGTTCTCATCCACACTCAATGTTGATTTAATAAGTTGGACTCCAACTTAGTAAAATTCTTAGGTGGATCGGGTTCCACCATGGATCCCGACTATTTTTTGCACTCGTAGTCCCTATCATAATGTTTCCCTCTCTTCCAAATAAACTTATATTTTTGCACTTTTAGTTCGTATCAAAATTTTCTCTCTCATTAAAAAATATTCAAAATCTTTGAACGGCTATATCTCTAATTCATGAAAAATTAGAGAATGTGTTACTGATGAAAGTTATAAAACTCGACAAAATCTATACAACAAGATCCATATAATTTTTTTTAAATTTTAAAATCATTAAAATTTTATGAGTATAAATAAAGAAATTGTATGTTCGTTTAGATGGATATGCAGTTTAAATGGATGGATACGGTGCTGCTTTTAGATGAAAATGCAGTATAAACATGATGAAAATTGTGTTATTATGAACTTTTATTTGTTTAGATAGAATTATATAATAGTTGGCAAAAAAATTGGATAAACACCACAATTATGATGGATTAGCGACAGCAAACGAGTAAAAATGATCTACCAATTCATCATTTATTTCTGTTAAATGGATATTCAATACAAAAATGATGGATAAGTATTACAAAAATGATCGATAAACATCACAAAAAAAGATGGATAGGCAAAACTAAAACGGTAGATAATGTTACTAATTAAAATTTTTTCTAATTTTCTTAGGTAGATATGCAGTTGTACTTTAATTTACTCTCAAATTTAACCAGATTTGAATGATTTTTTACTTTTACTTCCATCTTTTAAATACTTTTAATTTTTTTAAAAAATCAAACTTCAAAACTCATTTATGGAACTGAAGGTAAACATATCAAAATGAAATACATTTCTAAGACGAAATGTAAACTTTTTTTTCTCAAACGATTATCATGGTTTAAAACTCTATTTTAAGTAGTTTTTATGTAGATGTGATGATACTCATTATAATTTCTTACCCAGTTTGGTTTGTTTTAACCAAATTTCTTGTTTGTTTATTCTTATAAATGTTACAATTATTTTGATGAAATTAACTCTCCCAAAAAAATCTTTCCATTTGTCCCTCACCAATAAAAAATCCTTATGATTTAGTGAAGAGATTAATCATTACTGCCAACCGCAACGCCTTATCCTACAATATACAAACCCTAAAAAAAACATATTTCAAAATATTTAATGGATGTAAATGTTGTCATTTGAAAAGTGTTAAACATGTCTATAACACATCCAAACCCTATTGCTATATCCCCCGTTGTTGGTATTCTAATTATCTATTCATTAAAATTATTCTTTTCTTAATAAGTTCTTGTTGTCATCTATGGAGATGGATACATGAGAAAGTTTGACAAACATTTTTCAATGGGATCTGGTGGTTCTAAAGCCAAACAGGTTCTGAAAGAGGGTTATAATGATGAAATGGAAGTCGATTATTGGGGTGAGTGGTTAGAAAAGCGATTAGCACGGCGGCTTCTCAAGATCTCAGTACTGGAGGGCATATGTATATCAAGTGTCCGTCTAAACATGACTATTTTGCTCATACAGCTGCTGCTAGAAACATAAGTAGGCTGAATGTCTTCACTTATAGGAATCCAAATCCCTTGTGATTTCTTATTAAACTACCTTTTGGTTATAATTATGCAGAAGTCTAATCTTAGACTATTTTAATATTATGTACAACAGTATTTTTGTTATTTTCACAATTTGTTACTATCCAAATTGTGGTATCTTTTAAATTTGTGCTCATATCCAAATTATATTATGATGAGATTGGTTTGTTTGTTGGTTGACATAATTCATAATTTTTTATTCATTTTTTTTTAAAAAGAAGAAAGTTGAGCCCCCGAAAGAATAGTTTTACATTAAGATTACTCCTTTTTCTCTCTCTTCTAACACTGTGTGTGATTACTCGTTCACTGTGTAAGATTCATCTTCTTCTTCCGAACCCTATTGCTATATCCCCTGTTGCTGGTATTCTAATTACCTATTCATTAAAATTATTCTTTTCTTAATCAGTTCTTGTTGTCATATATGGAGATGGATACATGAGAAAGTTTGACAAACATTTTTCAATGGGGTCTAGTGGTTCTAAGGCCAAACAGGTTCTGAAAGAGGGTTATAATGATGAAATGGAAGCCGATTATTGTGGTGAGTTAGTTAGAAAAGTGATTAGCACGGCGGTTTCTCATGATCTCAGTACTGGAAGGCATCTGTATATCAAGTGTCTGTCTAAACATGGATTTGATGACTATTATTTCCTCATACAGCTGCTGCTAGAAACATAAGTAGGCTGAATGTCTTCGCTTATAGGAATCCAAATCCCTTGTGATTTTTTATTAAGCTACCTTTTGGTTGTAATTACGCAGAAGTCTAATCTTAGACTTTTTAATATTATATACAACAGTATTTTTGTTATTTCCACAATTTGTTACTATCCAAATTGTTTTATCTTTTAAATTTGTGCCCATATCCAAATTGTATTATGATGAGATTGGTTTGTTTGTTGGTTGACATAATTCATAATTTTTTATTTGTTTTTTTTTAAGAAGAAAGTTGAGCCCCCGAAAGAATAGTTGCACAGTAACTTTACTCTTTTTTCTCTATCTTTTAACACTGTGGGCGATTACCCGCTCACTGTGTGAGATTCATCTTCTTCTTCCGGTGCACAATTTGTGCACTCACGATGGTGGGAAGACCCAAGAGGAGGGGAAAAGGTAGCGAACAGCAGTCAGAGCAACCAGTGGAGAAGATCTCGTCGTCAATTGCGGATAAGAAAGGTTTCCCTGACATTAAGGTAACAAGCCCTAATTCGATTTCAAAGTCTAGTGGCATGAATTCTTCAATACTTGAGTAGCTTTGTAATCATAAGATTGTGCAAATTGGTGAATCCTCTAAGGAAATTAATGAATTGGCAGTAGATAATCCAGAATCTAGGTTAAGACTGTTTGGGAAAATTCCGATCTGAAATCCAAAACTAGGTATGGAACGAAAGTTGGAATATATAGCGCCCATTAATGCTCAGAATAGATCAATCGCTAGAATTCAGAAGGATGAATTGCAAGTAGCCATTGATTATTGGCGTTCTTCGTTGATCTGTTATGTTCTAGGTGCGCATCCACCCTTCTATGTGATTAATGGGTATCTAAGAAGAATTTGGGGGAAGTATGGAGTGGATAAGGTGCTATTGATGGATAATGGGGTAAGATTGTGCAAATTGGTGAATTCTCTAAGGAAATTAATGAATTGGCAGTAGATAATCCAGAATCTAGGGTTAAGACTGTTTGGGAAAATTCCGATCTGAAATCGAAACTAGGTATGGAACGAAAGTTGGAATATATAGCGCCCACTAATGCTCAGAATAGATCAATCGCTAGAATTCAGAAGGATGAATTGCAAGTAGCCATTGATTATTGGCGTTCTTCGTTGATCTGTTATGTTCTAGGTGCGCATCCACCCTTCTATGTGATTAATGGGTATCTAAGAAGAATTTGGGGGAAGTATGGAGTGGATAAGGTGCTATTGATGGATAATGGGGTATTTGTAGTTCGTTTCAACACAGTTACAGCAAAAGAAGAGGTTCTCAAACAGACAGTGTTTCATTTTGACAGTCACCCCTTGATTGTCAAGGACTGGTCCGTTGAAGAAGGTTTAAGATTGAAGATATTAGAAAGGTACCTATATGGATTCAGTTACTAAAGTTGCCACTTAGGTACTGGACTGCTAAGTCACTTAGCAGGATTGCGAGTATTATAGGTACCCCCATTGAGAAGGATGAGATGACTTCAATGAATAATCACACTGGTTATGCTAGATTATTAGTAGAGATGGAAATAATAGAGAAAATGCCTGATGTAGTTTGGTATGAGGATGGAAAGGGTGTACTACAGGAGCAGAACATTCGTTATGAATGACATCCTATTCGTTGTAGTGAGTGTAAGGGATATGGCCATGAAGCTTTCAAATGCAGGAAACCAGCTGAAAAAACATGGCCACCTAGATCCAACTCTCCAAAAGACAAGCAACAGGTAGCTCCTCCTAGTGCAAGTCTTGAAAAGCAAAAGGAAATAGCTCCAAAACCTATGAAAAGCCTACCAGTGTCAACTCTTCAAGAACAAACCTTAGCAGAGAAATCTAATGAGGCTGGAAGCTCAGATAAAAACTTTGCAATAGCCAGTCGCAACAATCAAAGGGAAGGGAAGCAAGTGGTTAACATGAAAGAAGTCAAAGGAGGGGATGACAGGAATAGAGACAAGCATAAGGCAACAGGGAAAAGTAATAGTAGTGGAACTAGGAGCCCATCACTTAGGCCTGGTTACCATGAATAACCTCCTTTGTTGGAATGTAAGGGGATTTAACAGCCCCTTGAAACACAGAGAGGTGGAGAAATGCCTCTCTGTAAATAGTGTTGGAATCGCAGGCATAATTGAGACAAAACTGAATTGTGCAAAAGTACAGGACTTGAAGGAGAAGAAATGGAGTAAATATGAGATTTTAAGTAATCATAGTTCTACTAGTAAAGGCAGAATAATAGTTATGTGGCAGAAAAACTACTATAAAGTGAGCAACGTGAGAATAGAAGAACAATTGATCCATTGTACAGTTCAAGAGTTGCCTCATAAGACTTTTGAACTTACAGTGGTCTACGGCGAGCACCAACCGCAAGGAAGAACAGAACTGTGGAATCATATGCTGGGTATGAACAGTAATCATTCAAGACCCTGGCTAGTAACTGGAGACTTCAACTCTATACTGCAACCGGAGGATAAAATAGGAGGCACAAGAGGAGTGAGTGTAGACACATGCATGTTCCAGATGGTAATTAATCACTGTGAGCTAACAGAAATGAAGTCACTAGGTCATTACTATACCTGGAGTAATAAGCAGCAAGGAGCTAACAGAATTATGTCTAAGCTCGACAGGGCCTTTATTAATGAGAAATGGCAGGAGGAATTTCCAGAAGCTACAACTAAAGTACTTCCAGCAGGCATTTCAAACCATAGTCCCTTACTAGTAAGATGGGGAAATTGAAGGGAAATAGGAGGCAAAGCTTTTCGATTACAACATGTGGACCTTGTACCTTGGTTTTCAAGCAGCTATTAAAGAAGCCTAGAGTACTGAGGAGGAAGGCAGTTATCAATTTTTATTGACTCAGAAGCAAAAGAAACTGAAAACCAGTCTACGGGAATTCAACAAGCAACACTACAGTAACATTGAAGTGCAGGAGCAAACCACCAAACAGCAGCTTGAAGAAGTACAGGGCCAAGTTCAGTAGGACCCTTATAATACCCATTTGCAAGATGAAGAGAAACGGTTAACTCAAGAATATATTGAGTGCAGTAAATCAGTCATCAGCTATTGGAATCAAAGGCTCAAAGAAAGATGGATCCAAGAAGGGGATAGCAATTCACGATACTTCCATGCTTGCATAAGACAAAAAAGGACTCAGAATCGCATCCTCTACTATACTGACAGTCAGCGCAAAATTATGGAAGAATGGTCCCAGGTAAAACAACACTTCCTTAGCTATTATATGGAACTGTTGGGTACGGGTAGAGCTAGGGTTTCAGTAAATAGTGAAATTTTTAACTCAGGGATTATACTGACTGTAGACTAGCAGATTTTCCTGGTTAAAAATTTTACTAAAACTAAAACCAAAGAAGCTGTATTTGATATAGATATAAATAAATCAACTGGACCATACAGCTATAATAGACATGCTTGGGATATTGTAGGGGATGATGTTGGTCGTGCTGTGTTTGAATTTTTTTCATACTGGGAAGCTTGTTAAACAAATAAATGCCACTAGAATAGCCCTGATACCAAAAAATCTTAATCCGAGAGATGCCACAGAGTATTGACCGATAGCGTGCTGTAATACAGTTATAAAGTGATTACTAAGTTGATTACAAGAGATTAGGTCTCCTTCTGCCTGATATTATAGATCCTAATCAGGGAACTTTTATACAAAATAGATCCATCCTTCACAATGTCCTTTTAACCCAAGAATTAGCCCGGCTCTTTAAAAGAAAATTCTCTAAACCTAGCTGCCTTGTGAAAGTAGACCTCAAAAAAGCCTTTGATTCCATACACTGGTCCTTTATTGAAGAAATGCTCAACAATCTAGGATTTCCTCAAAAATTCTCAGGCTGGATAATGGAATGTATCAGCTCCCCTAGCTACTCATTAAACCTAAATGGCGAAAGTGTCGGATGCTTCCCAGGGAAACATGGTCTTAGACAGGGCGATCCCATGTCACCACTACGATTTGTAATGGTCATGGATTACCTGACTAAACTGCTAAAACTAGCCACAGGAAAAGAAGAGTTTCGTTTCCATCCATTCTGTGATAAACTCAAAATAGTTAGCCTCAGTTTCGCAGATGACTTAATTATTGTCTGCCAAACTGATTTGCCTACTGTGAAGTTGATTAAGAATGCATTGGTAGTGTTTCAAAATACTACTGGACTAACTGTAAATCTACAAAAGCCAGATATTTTCTTCAGGGGAACTAATGCAGAGCTATAGGATCAGATTTTGCAAGTTATGGGATTTCATGCAGGTTTCTTCCCTATTAGACACCTTGGTGTTCCTATCTCTTCCACTGCTTGGACCTATACTGACTGTCAGACTGTGGTTCAAAAGATAGTTGGCCGGATGAAATGATGGTCTTCTCGACATCTCTCTTATGCAGGAAGGCTAGTGCTTGTAAATGCAGTGCTTCTAAATCTCCACTCTTACTAGGATGGAATTTTCTTTCTTCCAAAGGCAGTGATTCAACAAATTGAGAGGCATTGCAGGGAATTCTTATGGGCGAAAAAGACACTGCTAGATCCTGGTCCTTAGTTGCATGGGGAGAAGTCTGCAAAAGCAAATCTGAGGGAGGTTCCACATAAAGGATCCGGGGTTATGGAATCATGCTTTGGTTGGGAAACAGCTCTGGGATACTAGCAAGAAGAAGGAAAGCCTTTGGATAAGTTGGATACATGCTCATTACTTAAAGTGTAAATCCATCTGGGACTATAAAGAACCAAATGACTGTGGCCGACACTGGAAAAAGTTGCTGAAAGTAAAGGACAAGCTTAAGATGGTGTTGTGAATGGGAAGTGGAACAGATCAGCAGGAAAAGATTATTCGGCTAAAGAAGGCTATAAATGGCTTACTGGAACTTACAGAAAGTGTAGGGCTGCTAAAATAGTTTGAAGTCCTTACAATATCATAAAACAATGCTTCATCTTATGGATTGCCATGAAGGATAGACTCCTTACTCAAGACAGAATGGAGCATC